TAATAATTAAAGTAAAACAAAGAACAGAGAGCAACTGATATTTGAGCAGCTGGCAAGTTCATCAAAATATTGTTAAACGTGTATAACTTAAAAGCATGTAAGTACTATTTCCCTTAAACATATTTAAAGCTAATTTTGTTTCTCAACAATAAACTTATATGTTTTTGTTTTTGTTTGGAACTTTCAAACTCATGAAAACTAGTGTATACCTTAATTCACCTAATATTTTGATAACCTCTAGGAAAACACTTCATCTTACATTTCATGCCATATTCACTGAAAAACTGCTTCCTGGCCAGGTACTCCCTTAACTGTGCTGCTCAAGCTACTGTCAAGGTGGGAAGGGTGCTGACAGGATAGGGGCTGTTCTAACAATCTATTTAGGGCCTACTTCTGATTAGAGTATTTTACCCAGTGTCAGTAAGCCACAAAGCCTGTCAGTTTCTTTCCTATTCTTTTTTTCTTTCTTTCTTTTTTTAGGTCTACTCTAGTCTTAGCTAGGTTAATTCAGCTGTCCTGAGTGATTAATTGCTGAGGTCAGAAGTAAATATCCTGTGTCACATCAAATTTCTTTATATTGCTGTGTGTGGTCCCCTGCACTCAGCCACAGATACGTATACATGGTGATTGAACAAAAACATACCCTCTCCCACCCCCACCCCTCTGTACCACACAAAACAATTCTAAGTGCGGAGATATTGCTGGAGTGGCACAGCAGCAAAGAGGAGAGATTCAATGTGTTACAAAAACATCACAAGAAAGGGCATCTTCTACTTCCGAAAGGTGTTTTTAACCTAAAAACTTTCCTTCTGTGTTGTCAAAATACCTTAATTAGAAGTTGACTACCAGAGAATGCCCTTGTAGCTTTTCTCTCTTTCTTTTTTTTTAATTTTTTTATTTTTAACATTCCTTCAATCAGCCTTTTCAGCATGCAGTAATTAACCAAAAAGTATTTTCAACAAATGGGCAAATTTAGATCAGTGCTACATATGCCACCAATACAAATATTACTAATCGTAGGAGAATCTCTACATCTCAGGCACTGTTGTAAACTGAGAAAGAGCAGATTATCTTAATGATTCTGGATTGAAGCAATAGGAAAGGAAAACAGTTGATGTCTCTACCGCAAATTACTGTTCACCAGAACACAGAATTAATTCCCAGTGTATCTAGCTGTAAGAATGAATCTTAGTGCGGAGGAGGTTGAAATGTATCAGATGTATCTGTTTCTTTTCACAGAAAGACTTCTTGTTATACAACAAGTGACATGACAGCAGCAAAAACATTGAGAAACTAACCACTGTTGAAAAAAGAACCAATATTAAAAAAAAAAAGTCCAGATTCTCTCCCAAATTTATTGGGGAAATAAAACAATCTTTGATCAAAGAAAAAAGATTTGCCATGGGGAAGTGTTAGTCTATATTTACTAAAATATTAGTAAAACATGAATTTAAACATTTGTCAGACTGTGTAAATGGAGAGTTGAATAAATTATCCTGGGCCTGGAAAGTTTTAAGGGTGTAGAACAATCTATATTGGTTGTCCACAAAGATTACATTCTACATAGGAAAATGCAAGACTCCGTCAGTCTGTAGAGATGCTTTTTCTTTCAACATCCTAAAGACTACTTACAGTTAAGGAAATGCAGGAGTAAGTTGTATGACCAGATAGAAGTTCCACAGGAAAGGTAGAATGTTTTCCCAACAGCACTTGGGTAAGGGAGTCCAGGTCTAAACCCTACACAAAACGAATATCCTGAAATATTGAGAGATTAACACAAATGCAGGATTCACTTTACACTGTCAATCAATGATCAGTTAATATGAAAAAGCTGAACCAAAGCTAAAACACCAGACCTCTCTGGGGGTATAAAATAGATGTGTCTGGTGAAGAAGTAAGGAAGAGAAGAGGACTTATTCAAGGAAATGATCAGAACAACAGGTCAAATCACGAAATTTCACCAGGCTGAATCTCTAATGGGAGAGGTTTGGAAACCCAAATCCTACAGAAACAGATCTGTGTGACTGGCAATGTGAGACTGTGGCACCAACAGCTAGGTGATCACTGGAAAACACACTTTGTATGTTTTTTTTTTTTTTTTTCTGGCTAATGATATACCATAAACTAACCCAAGTAATATCAACCTAGTGTGATAGGCGTAACTAGCAATGGAAACCAAACCACAGTTCACTTCCTTGTTGATATATGGATACCAGCTTCTCTTTTTAAATACATTCTACTGAGAATAAGAAGGTTTATCAAAATGCCTACTAGGTTAACATACATCATTTTCCTTTTTTAATTAATACTTTAAGTTCTGGGGTACATGTGCAGATCGTGTAGGTTTGATACAAAGGTACACACGTGCCATGGTGGCAGCTGGCTGCATCCATTACTCCGTCATCTACATTAGTTATTTCTCCTAACGCTATTCCTCCCCTAGCCTCCCAGCCCCCCAGGCCCTGGTATGTGATGTTCCCCTCCCTGTGTCCACGTGTTCTCATTGTTCAACACCCATTTATGGGTGAGAACATGCAGTGTTTGGTTTTCTGTTCTTGTCAGTTTGCTGAGAATGATGGTTTCCAGGTTCATCCATGTCCCTGCAAAGGACATGAACTCATCCTTATTTATGGCTGCATAGTATTCCATGGTGTATATGTGCCACATTTTCTTTATCCAGTCTATCGTTGATGGGAATTTGGGTTGGTTCCAACTCTTTGCTATCGTGAACAGTGCCACAGTAAACATATGTGTGCATGTGTCTTTACAATGGAATGATTCACAATCCTTTGGTATATCTATTTCTAGATCCTTGAGGAATTGCCACACTGTCTTTCACAATGGTTGAACTGATTTACACTCCCACCAACAGTGTAAAATAACATATTAACATTTGTTTAACTTTACGTGTTACGAGGAGCTATAGGAAAGGCTTATTTGATTTGAAACTCATAATAATGCCCTCAGACAAAGCAGATTTTATTATCTTTGTTTCACAGATGAGAAAATTCAGAATTGGTTAAGTATACAGATGACTGAGACTGAACTCATCAAATGTCCATGTGCTTCCTGTTTGTTTTCCAGCTTCTCTAGCAGTGAAGTTGGAGCCTTGTGACCTGTGCCCAACAGACTGTGAGCAAAGCAGTGTGTTTTCCTGAGCTAGCTAAGGCCGTTCCCACGAGTGAGCCTCCCTGAGCTGCAGAGACCTCAAATGCACTTTTTTAGTTGGCCTCACAATGGAGAAGACTGTTTAACATACATAGGATAGGATGAGTGTGGAAAATAATTCTTTATCATATTTATCGCTGGATTTCCAAGGCCCCTAATGTTCAATGCCCTTACTAATGTAGATTTTGGAAACTGAAGTTGGATGCTACTGTGTCAAAAACATAAAATATACACTATTGGGTCAGTTTCAGATGTGAATGGTGAGGTGACTGGTATTAGAGGAAGAAAAGGTAGTGGTTGGGTCAGGCTAACCCAAAACATAAAAGGACACTGCCGCTGTGATCAGAAGGGACGTTAGCCACATGCTTATTGTTTTGCAACTTAGGAAAAGAGCTTGGAAAGCACAAGTGTGTTTTCTGAGTTGGCTACTATTGGTGGTAGTTGGCAAGATGCTATAGAGGTGAATTTACTGGGGGAAAGTTATCAGCTAGCAAATAGAAATGGAAAGGATTAGGTGATCTGCAGAAATTCAGAGACTAGCCAGGCACAGTGCTTATGCCTCTTATGCCTGTAATATCAGCACTTTAGGAGGCTGAGGAACGAGGATCACTTGAGCCTGGGAGGTCCAGGCTACAGTAAGCCATGATTGCACCACTGCACTCCAGCCTAGGTAACAGAGCAAGACCCTGTCTCAAAAAAGGAAATAGAAATAGAAATTCAGGGACTGGACAGTTTGGAAAATCAAGCAAGGCAAACAAAATACAGGAATACCTCAATAAGTGAAATAAGCCAAGCACACAAAGACAAATGTTCCATCTTCTCACTTATTTGTGGGATCTAAAAATAAAAACAACTGAACTCATGGACATAGAGAATAGAAGAATGGCTATTAATAGCTGGGAAGGGGAGTGAGAGGCTTGGTGGGAGGTGAGGATGTTAACAGGTACAAAAAATAATAATTAGAATGAATAAGATCTATCACTTGACAGCACAGTAGGGTGACTATAGTTAATAATAAGTTAATATTACATTTTAAAATAACTTTAAAATGTGTGATTGGATTGTAACTCAAAGGATAAATGCTTGAGGGATTGGATATACCATTCCCCATGATGTGCTTATTTCATATTGTGTGCCTTTATCAAAACATCGCATGTACCCCATAAATATACACACCTACTGTGTACCCACAACAATTTAAAAAATAAAAAGGAAAAATTTAATATTAAGAAAAGATATTGCAGTCTGCTTTCAGTTCCAGAGACCCACAAAAAAAGCAAATATTGCAATAAAAAAAATCACATGAATTTTTGGGTTTTTCAGTGCATATAAAAGTTACTACAGTCTACTAAGTGTGCAGTAGCATTATGTCTAAAATAATAATGTACATGTCTTAATTTAAAAATACTTTACTGTTAAAAATGCTAACCATCATCTGATCCTTCAGCAAGTCATAATCTGCTTGCAGGTGAAAGGCCTTACTTCAATGTTGATGGGTGCTGATGTCAGAGAGGTAGTTACTAAAGTTGGGGTGACTGTGGCAATGTCTTAAAATAAGATGACACTGAAATTTGCTGTATCAATTAACTCTTCCTTTAGTAAAATACTTCTTTGTAGCATAAAATGCTGTTTGCTAGCATTATGCCCACAGTAGAACTTCTTTCAAAACTGGAGTCGGTCCTCTCAGATCCTGCCATTGCTTTATCAACTAAGTTTATGTAATATTAGTAATCCTTTGTTGTCATTTCAACAATGTTCACAGCATCTTCACCAGGAGTGCATTCCATCTCAAGGAAACTTTTTTTTTTTTTTTTTTTTTTTTGCCTGTAAGTAGCAACTCCTCATTTGTGGAAGTTTTATCATGAGATTGTGACAATTCAGTCACATCCTCAGGCTCCACTTTTAATTCCAGTACTATTACCATTTTCCAGTACTCTTACTATTTTCAGCACATTTGCAATTCCTTCTTCCACTGATGCCTTGAACTTGTCACAAAGTAATCCATGAGGATGGAAATCAACTTTTTCCAAATTCCTGTTAAATTTTGGCTTCCTTTAATGAATCATAGATTTCTTAATGGCATCTAGAATGGTGAACCTTTCCAGTTTTCAATTGTTTTGTACAGGTCCACCAGAGGAATCATTCTCTATGGCAGTTACAGCCTCATGAAACATATTTTTTAAATAATAAGACTCAAAATTGAAACTGTTTCTTGATCCTTGGGCTGCAGGCAGGAAACAATATTAATCTTCCTGCACATCTCCACCAGAGTTCTTGGGTGACTAGGTAGATTATCAGTGAGCAGTAATAATTTGAAGGAGATCTTTCCTTTTTTCTGAGCAGTAAGTCTCAACAGTGGGCTTAAAATATTCAGTAAACCATATTGTGAACAGATACGCTGTCATCCAATACATCTTTTGTTGTCCACGTACAGGACCCAGGCAGAATACAGCATCATCATTGAAGGCCCTTGGACTTTCAGATGGCAAATGAGCACTGGCTTCAACTTATACTCGTCAGCTGCTTTAGCCCCTAACAAGAGACAGCCTGTCCTTTAAAGTGAGGCAGTGACTTCTGTCTAGCTATGTAAGTCCTAGATGGCATCTTCTTTCAATAGAAATCAATTTTGTCTATTTGAAAATCTGTTTCGTGGAGCCGCCTTCATCAACGATCTTAGCTGTATCTTCTGGATAACTTGCTGCAGCTTCCACATCAGCACTTGCTGTTTCATCTTGTATTTTTATGTTGCGGAGACATAACTTCTTTCCTTAAACCTCATGAACCAACCTCTGCTAGCTTCCAACTCTTGTTCTACAGCTTCCTCACCTCTCAGCCTTCGTAGAATTAAAGAGAATTAGGGTCTTGCTCTAGGTCAGGTTTTGGTTAAAGGGAACATTGTGGCTGGACTGATCTTCTATCCAGACAACTAAAACTTTCTCCACATCAGCAATAAGCCTGGTTTCACTTTCTTATCATTTGTGCGTTCACTAGAGGAGCACTTTTAATTTTCTTCAAGGACTTTTCCTTAGCATGCACAACTTGACTAACTGATTCAAGAAGCCTAGCTTTTAGGCTGTCTCACCTGTTGATATGCCTCCTCACTAAGGTTAATCATTTCTCTATTTTTATTCAAAGTGAGAGATGTGCAACTCTTTCTTTCACTTCAGCACTTAAAGGCCACTATAGTGCTATTAATTGGCCGAGTTTCAACACTGTTTTGTCTGAGGAAATATAGCAGCAGCAAGAGAGGTAGGGAGACAGAGGAATAGCTAGTTGATAGAGCAGTCAAAACACCCTTATTAAGTTCACCATCCTAAATGTGAGCAGTTCATGGCCTCTCAAAACAATTTTAACAGTAACAGCACAGATCATCATAAGAAAGATAATAATAAGAAAAAAGTTTGAAAAATTGCAAGAATTATCAAAACGTGGCAATGAGACATGAAGTGAGCACATGCTTATGGGGAAACAGCACTGGCAGACTTGCCGAATACAAGGTCACCACAAACCTTCCATTTGTAAAAAAGGCAAAATCCGCAAAGCACAGTAAAATTAGATATGCCCGTAAATAAGTAAACAACCAAGGTAAAAGAGGAGAACCACGGGAAGAAAAAGGTTTTGAGTGACAAAATTCCTGTGAAACTTCTCAACTGGAAGAAATAGCTCAGGGAAAATGTTATACCAAAGAGTCTCCTTTCCACCAGAGAGTCTCAAGGGAGCCACTATCTCATCTTACATACTTCCCCCAAGCAGAACTGAAGCAGAACATGTACATGCAGTTTATTTGTAAGTGATGTGAGAAAAGAATGAGGCATGAGAAATGATGCAGAGATAGGAAGAATCAATAGAAAAATGAATTGTGGACTTGACCACTGTGAGGGCAAATAACATTCAAGTTTCCATGATTTTCTGAAGACATTTGTAGAATTCATCTCAAAATTGTGCACCCAGGCTAAAGAAGGCAGAAGCTGTATCCATTGGCTCCCATCATCCACTGGCCAAGAGTTCATCCATTTGCATTAATTTCTCTATGATTTCAATTCTGGGTTATACGTATATGAATGATGAGCAGTCCCTGGGGATGCCAAATCCTGGAATCCCATGATAAGAAGCAGAAGACACTGACTCTGTGGAAAGGTACTGCTTGGTTATACTCACAGGAAACTGGTCAAAGCCTTTATAGAACTGGGTGAGCAACTTTATTTGGCATCAAATATGATGCCAAGGTTTTGAAGTGGTCATAAGAGGTATCCAAAAAGAAACTCACTTAAGAGAAGCTGGCATCTCAGCAAGAAAGAAAGGGGGAAAAGTAAGGTTAAGAATTATGTTTCAAAAAGAACTTAGTGTATACTTACTGACCCATGAAATAAGACTGGATATAAGTATTATAGATAATAAATCTACATACTTTCTGAGTAGAAAAATATACTATTTTGCGAAAGAAACCAGAAGCAAGCACTGACAAAAAAAAATGAAAATAAAAGTCCTTTGACAATTTGAGAATTGAAGCAACAATAGGTTCTATTATTCCGTATAGGAGAAGAGAAGACGACTGAGACAGCCGTGCAACTTGCATAGTGGTCATATTCCCCCAACGTTATTTTCAGAGGCTGCTAAAGAGAATAATGAAAAAGGAAAAAAGCCTGGGAGGCTACAGCCAGAGCTCCTGGTCCCTGGAGGTCAGCCAGGGAGCTCCCCGAGAGAGAGGAACAGGATGCAATCAAGGTGCCTCCCACACCACAGGGAAGGGCTCTTGATTTCTGCCGGATGTGACTTCCTAATTACCATGGAGCACTGACAGCTGTATCTCATTCCCCCTCCTCCACATTGGAATTTTATTGCAGCTATCTCATCACTATTTTAATGTTATATATTGGACGGGTGTGAGTAGGAAGAGGGCAGACAATTTATGTGTTGTCCACAGGCTTTAGGAGCAAAGGGAGCAACATTTGGAAACAGTGGAGAAGATATGGGGATCACCCACAGATCGTGGACTGGAGCTAACTGGGTGTGACTGAGGGTTATCTCCTTTGGGAAGAGATATGTATGTGCCTTCTTCCTGTGAGAAAAGAGTGAATGAATATCCAGTGATCAAATGGTAGACACACAAAGGCCTTTAAAGCTTACCAAATATTTTCATGCTTTTCAGTATTCCCCAGCTTTCCTGGAAATTAGGTGGAAATATGAAAGTCACCCTGGCCAAGGTACTGTGAGGGGAACTGAGTCATATTTTACCAAAGGCAGTTAGGAGACATTCTGTCCCTTCCTCTCTATGTCCCTGGACTTTGGAGGCTACAGGAAATGTTGGATGTGGCCCCAGTACCCTCTTGGATGCAAACTACCCTAGGGAGTGGCCGCACCAACGCCAGACTCTGAAGTAGTTGAAAAGTAAACGTTTATTTTGTCAAAGTGCTGAAATCTGAGGGCTTATCGGTTGCATTAATTACCCTAATATACCAACATGACTCAAACTGTAAATTTTTTTATTTGACATCCTCAAACTTTTAAATCACAGCAAAGCATCACAATTTATAATTAAAATGAGAACTTTTGTTATCTATTTATCATCTCCCCATCCATTCTTCTATGTATCTATGTTTCAATCAGACCTTCTTTGAAGATAAAATTTCTACTAAGTCCTACAGTCCTGGCGAAATGCAGGGCGAGAAGCTGCACATCTTTGCAGTGTGAGTTCGAATATGTTCTCATATATAATTCCCTTCTACCCACTCCATCTTGGTTTTCTCACGAACCATTTTATGTCAAATAAGAAAAATCAACTCTAGCTAGTTTATTTGGGAAAAGTACTTACTACAAGGTACTAGGAAGCTCTTGGGGATCTTTATTTATTTATTTATCTTTATTGCATTTTAGGTTTTGGGGTACATGTGAAGAACATGCAAGATTTTTGCATAGGTACACACATGGCAGTGTGATTTGCCCATCGATGATAGACTGGACAGGGAAAATGTGGCACATATACACCAAGGAATATTATGCAGCCATCAAAAATGATGAGTTCGTGTCCTTTGTAGGGACATGGATGAACCTGGAAACCACCATTCTCAGCAAACTGACACAAGAGCAGAAAATCAAACACTGCATGTTCTCACTCTTAGGGATCTTTTGAAGGAACAGAACAACTGTCGAGTCTTCATAACCAGGGGAAATGATTGAAATCTTGCAGAACGAGTTCAACAAAGATATCACCTCTGCTACCCTAAGTAGAGACCCTTTGGCTTCTATAGCTAACAATGACAAGGTTGGACACTTTAAGGTACTACCCCACTACCCTGGAACTTAGCCAGAGATCCCACCATCTGCACAACGCCCGATTCTTTGCTTCGTTAGCTTCCTCTTCAAAAATCCAGCCTGTATCATAACTGAAAGGTAAGGCAGGACGAGTGAGTGACTGGCCTACCCAGAAAGGAGCAGAGAGCAAACAATTCGAGGAATTTCTAAAACATATGAAATATGTTCAGGGGCTGGATGGCCAAAAGAAATGACCAATTCCCAATACAACCACGGACATACTGTTATCGTGGACCGTAATGGGAATGTAAAGGACACGTAGTAAATGTGTAGAATGGATGAATAGATAAAATAATGACCAGGACTGAAGCATTCGGTTACTGCTATTCATTCAGCACTATTTTAAATGACACAAGAGTGACTGGATGGATAACATGGCCCTACAGCTCCCACGAGGTCAGCAGAGTTATTATTTCAGCCCCATCCAGTTCCATAGCAATCAAAGCCAGAGCTACAGAGAATGAGCTCCAACTGACAGGCTCAGCCCCAGCCTAAAGACCAAGAGGAGCTTGGAGCTTAATAGGACACTGAAGAAAACTGACTTGGCTTCCACTATCAAAGTGAAGTGGGGAATTAGAGCAATTTTCCTGACACTCCAGGCAGAAGTGGGCAGTTTGCCTGGATTATCTAGGTCACTGCTTCAGACTCTCAGATTCATTTTGCCCATGGAGAACTGTCCCATTAGCTCCAGTTACCAGAGTAACTAACTCCGCAATGTGCTCAGGGTAACAACAGCCTCATTCCCAACCAACCCCTTTTAACTGCACTTAAATATCCATGATTTTTTGGTCTTACTGATCTAGGCTGGATGTAAAAGAGCAACCCTTTGGAGATGGATTACAAATGCCACACACTCTTAAATGGCTATTATGTTTTCAAAGCAGAACGTGTCAAATCAAATGATAAAAAATGAGGATCCAATTCTCTCTCAGGCTCACTTGCAGGATTCCCTCATGATTATGATGGGAATGAATCATCTGCAATGATATTTAGGTTAGTAATGCCATTATAATAAAGTATGTAATTTAGGTTAGTCTCCATTATGTCAAGAGGATTGCCACATACTCACCTCCTTCTCTGACTTCTCAGCTTTGCCCCTGTGGCTTACTTGGGGCACGGTTAATTGATACAATTAAGAGTGAAGCCTGATTTAAAGGGCCCAGAGGAGCCTCTGGGAAAATGAGGTTTATGTACTAAGGGGAAGGCTTTATATTACTGCAGCTTCGTTCCTGATACCCAAATTCTTCTCTAGGATGGTAAATAAAGCTCAGGTAGGGAGGAAACCAACAACCATGTTACTGTAACAAATTTCACCCATTTTATTTCTATCTGTTTAAATCAAGCACCCTGTTAGCTTCTATTTTCTTTTCCAAGGTAGGAATGTGGCCTCAGACTTGCCTAGCTCTCATCCACTTTCTCATCATCTTATTTTTTCTTATTATTGTCTGATACTGTAGCTATCATAAATTACAATGCAGTATCATCAAAATTCAAAATGTTTCAGTAAACAGTTTTCCCATGCTGAGAAATCAAAAAGATACAAAAGAGTCAACAGATTTCCTTCATTATGGAAGGAAAATTAATGTTCATTTCTATTAAGTGAATTTAGCTTTAGAGACACAAATAGCACTTGGCCTTCCATCTCAACTGCAGAAATTCATATTTACCAAGCAAACACTTGATTCATCTAGCTTAACATCTTTACTAGGGAAATGCGAAAAGCCTGGAATTGAGTGGTTGTTTTTCACATGCTGAGTCAGAGAACAAAAACAGGGACCCGCATCTGTACTTATTTTAGTTCTATGTCTTGCATCTCTTCTTAGGAGACGAGCATAGCACACTGCTGTTAACTAGGATAATTACACAGTACTCTCGGCAGTGAGCATAATCACACTGTGAGTGTCCAAGAGTTTGAACAATTTGGACTGATTTTGTATGGCGTATAATTTACAGTGAAGATTCAGAATGTCTTCTTTTTTCTTTGAAGAACAGCTTTCATCATTACACATGGAGACACGTATTCACAGTCAAATTTGATACAGATAAATCTAAACATCTGCAAAAATAGAATAATTTTATTGACATTTACCCAGTGCTATCTCGGGCCATTTCTGTTTGTGATCAGCAGAGTCAAAGAAACTTCTTGACTCTAAAACTTTGTCTAAAACAGGTAAACTGGCATCAAGGCCTGAATACAATTTTAAGAAATTAGGAAATATAAATTAGAAAGATCACCTAAAATATTATGTAGAAGCAAAGATATAAAATCTACAAAACAACTAAATTAATAATATATTGAGTTATACATGTGAGTATCATAGTGCAATACAAACCAAAAAAAGGGAATTTTGTCAAAGCAGCCTTCAATAAGCTTCACTCACTTGCTGATTCATTCCATCATTTAATAAACAACCTTTGCTTTAGGAAGAGGGGGACAATTTGAGGAGTGATGAGACTAAGTGCCTGAACCAGACATGCTTCCCTCAGGAAGCCCAAAGTTTAGATTTTGGACAAAATGTACGTAAAAGGCAAAAACAGTAGCAATGGATGTTTCTAGAATAAAATGGAATTTCATCTCTTTTATAAACAATTCAGATTAATTTTTCTGTTCAGTAATGATGGTTCAAGAAAACCAATTCATATAGAAAGTACAGTATTCAGATAAAGAAAATGACAATATTATACTACAAATATTGAATTCACCATACTATTGTCTTCGGTAAATTACAGCAACTGTTTTAATGACCTAATCTACTTCCTAATGAAGAACTAACTAACTGATAATTAAGGCATTCTTAAAATGAAAAAGCTTAATGTTTAGTTATTGAAAAGTTATTTTTCACATTGTGTTTATCATTCAAAACTATCAACAATTAATTTTAATAGTTGATTTTCAAAAGACTACTATTTCATGTTTTCTAAATTTAAAAATAAATTTTTATAATAAAGAATATTATCAGTAGCCTTGGCAACTGTATGAATATTTGATAGTTTTTTTTCTCAAAGTAATAGTAAGATTAAAGACTTGAGGCATAAGAGCTGAAGAACTGGAATTGACTGCATCATTTAATAGACATAAAGAATGCCTGGTGGTACAAGAAAATAACGAGTTAAAAATATTTTTTCTGCTAATTCATATTTCAGAAAAGCAAAAAAGACATAAAGGATTATGTAATAAGTGTTCATATATCCATAACTGAACTTAAAAATATAATTGTAGAATATTGTAGTATAATAATCTGATAACATTTTCTACAAATTTATATTATTCTTTTTTTATTGTTATTTTTAGAGAAATTTTAGGTTTACATCAAAATCGAATGGAATGTACAGAGTTCCCCTATACATCCTGTCTTTGCTATCATAAAATGGCTCCCCCAATCAAAACCCCCCATCAGAGTGGTGCTGTGTGAGCCCATCCTTACACTGCTCTAAAGAACTACCTGACACTGCGTAATTTAAGAAGAAAAAGGTTTAACTGATTCACAGTTCCACAGGCTGTACAGGAAGCATGGCTGGGATGCCTCATGATACTTACAATCATGGTAGAGGGTGAAGGGGAAACAGGCATGTCCTATGTGGCTGGAGCAACAGGGAGAGAGAGATGGGGGAGGTGCTATACACTTTTAAACAACTGGATCTCATGAGAACTCTATCACGAGTATGCAAGGAGGAAGTCTGCCCCCATGATTCAACCACTTCCCACCAACTGCCTCCCACAACATTGGTAATTACAATTTGACAAGAGATTTGGGTGGGGACACAGAGCTGAGGTATATTTGTTAAAATTTGTGAACCCACACTGACACAACATTAGCAGCCAAAATTTATCATTTACATTAAATTTTATTCCTGAGGTAGTACATTCTATAAATTTTCAGAAACATACAGTGACTTGTATCCATCATTGTAGTATACCCAAGAATTGTTTTACTGCCCTCATTACCCTCTGTGTTTGGCTTATTCATCCCTTTCTCTGCCTAACACCTGGAAACTGCTCATCTTTTCACTGTCTCCATAATTTTGCCTTTTCCAGAATGTACCACTGTTGGAATCATTCAGCATGCACCATGTAGGCTTTTCAGATTAGCTTCTTTCACTTAATAATGTTTATTTAAATATTTTATATATCTTTTTATGAATGCATAGTTCATTTCTTTATTGTGCTGAATATTATTCCATTATCTGGATGTCCCTCAGTGTATGCACTCACCTAAAGGACACTAACCCCTATTAGTGTCCTTCTAGGAAGTGGTCCATTCTATCTAGTTACCATATTTGTGGTCATAGTGCTGGTTCATAACATTTCTTTATTATCCTTTTAATGTCCATGCTATCTGTAGTGATACTCCCTGCATTATTTCTGATACTGGTAAATAAACAAAGGGCACATTTATTGCTGATAAGTTCTGAAACATCATATTTAAGGAGATGACTGTCAAGGTCTTTTGCCCACGTTTCTGTCAGTGTTGAGTTCTTTGTATACTTTTTGTAACAATCTTTTATCAGATGTGTCTTTTGCAAATGTTTTCTCCCAGTCTGTGTCTTGTTTTCTCATTCTCTTGACATTGTCTCCTACAGAACAATGTTTGAAATTGTAATGAAATTCAACTGATCAATTATTTCTTTCACAGTTTGTGTTTCAGTACTGTATGTAAGAAGTCCTCATCATACCCAAGATCATCTAGATTTTCTTCTTTTTCCTTATAGTTTTATAGTTTTGCATTCTGCATTTGGGTCCATGATTAATATTAGTTGTTTTTTGTGAAAAGTGTAAAGTCTATGTCTAGATTCACGTGTTTGCATGTGGATGTTCAGTAATCCAAGCGTCCTTTAAGACTATCTTTATTCCAATGTCTGCTGCCTTTACTCCACTGTCAATTATCAGCTGCATATGTTTACATGGGTCTATTTCTGGGCTCTCTATTCTGTTCCCTTCATCTACTTGTTTATTCTTTCACCAATATCATACTGTCTTTATCACTGTAGCTTTATATTAAGTCTTAATGCCAGATAGTCAATACTACAACTTTGTTCTTCTCCTTCAATATTTAGTCAGCTATTGTGGGTCTTACACCTTTCCATATAAACTTTAGAATCCAATTTTTAATATCAGAAAAATAACTTCTTAGAATTTTCTATGGAATTTTGTAGAAGCTATAGATTAACTTGGGAATAACTAACATGTTGACAATATTGCATCTTCCTATTCATGAAAATGGAGTATTTTTCCATTTATTTAGTTCTTTGATTTCTTTCATCAGAGTTTTGTATTTTTCTCATATAGGTATTGCACATACTTACTTTTTAAATTTATACCTAAGTAATTTTGGAAGAGCTAATGTAAATGGTAACTTTACTTAAAATTTCAAATTAAAATTCATTACTATATAGCCATTTATGGGTATATAGGAAAGGTATTGACTTTGGTATATTAACCATGTATTTTGCAACTTTGCTACACTATATATATAAAATAAGCAAAAAGTATATATATATATATATATATATATATATATATATATTTACCTGCTGATATATGTGCAATCTATAGACCAATTATATATATAAATTAGGGTAACCTGCCCTTATAGAATTAGTTAGAAAATATTCCCTCCAATTTTGTCTTCTGAAAGAGATGTTGAGAATTGCTATAATCTCTTCATTTAATATCTGGTAGAATCCACTAGTTTAGCTCACCTGGTCTGGACCTTTCTGTTTTAGAAGATTTTTAGGGATTGATTAAATTTCCGGCATAGATATAGGCCTAAACAGATTGTCTGTTTCTTCTTGTGTCAGTTTTAGCAGATTGTGTCTGTACTGGTTTGTACTCAAGCTGCTAATAAAGACACCAGAAACTAGGTAATTTAAAAGAAAGAAGTTTAATTGACTCACAGATCGTAAGTGATCTGTGATCACTCATGAATGGGGAGGCCTCACAATCATGGCAGAAGGTGATGGAGGAGCAAGTCACGTCTTACATGGTAACAGGCAAGAGAGCTTGTGCAGGGGACTCCCATTTATTTAACTATCAGATCTTATGACTTATTCACTACCATGAATACAGTATGATGGAAACTGCCTCCATGATTCAATTATCTCCACCTGGTCCCACCCTTGACATGTGGGGATCACTATAATTCAAGGTGAGATTTGAGTGGCAGCACAGCCAACCCATATTAATGTCCTTCTAGGAAGCGGTCCATTCTATCTAGTTACCATATTTGTGGTCATAGTACTGGTTCATAACATTTATTTACTGTCCTTTTAATGTCCAGGCTATCTGTAGTGATATTCCCTGTATTATTTCTGGCATTGGTAATATGCATTCTCTCCTTTTTTCTTAGTTAGCCTGGCTAGAAGTGTATCAATTTATTGATCTTTTCAAAACTAACATTTGATATATTTCCTCTACTTATTTCTCGCTATTATTTATTTTCTTCTGCTTGTTTTGGACAAAATTTGTTTTTCTTCCTCTAGTTTCCAAAAAAGAAAGCTTAGAGTACAGATTTTACATATTTATTCTTTTCTAATACATGCATTCAATGTTATAAATTTCCCTCTAAGCACTGTATCCCACAAAATTTGAGATTTTGCTGTGTCCCACAAATTTGGATAAGTTTTATTTTCACTATATTTTAAAATTTCTCGAGATTTCTTCTTTGACCCATGTGTTATTTAGAAGTGTGTTGTCTAATCTTATGTATTTTGGGATTTTTCACCTATCTTTCTGTCATTTATTTCTAGCCTGACTCCACTGTAGTCTGAGAGTAGATGTTGTATGATTTCTATTATTTTACATTTGTTAACATGTATTTTATGATCCAGAACATAATCCATCTTATTGAATATTTTATATGAGCTTGAGAGGAATGTGCATTCTGCTGTTTTAATGAAGCAGTCTTTATATGTGAATTATATTCAATTACTCCATGGTGCTGTTCAATTCAACAATTTTCTTACTGCTTTTCTGTCTGCTGGGTCTGTCCATTTGTGATAAAGAAGTGTTAAAGTCTCCAGACGTAACAGCACATTCTGTTTCTCCTTGAAGCTGTATCAATTTTTGCATCATGTATTCTTGATGCTCTCTTGTTGGATGCATACATATTAAGAATTACTATGTCTTGATGGAATAGTCACTATTATT